TGTGTGTGTGTGTGTGTGTGTGTGTGTGTGTGTGTGTGTGTGTGTGTCGAATGCTGCCAGAATTGCTGATTCAGCTCATAGGGTCTTATTCACCTCAGAGAGCAAAGAACACATTCGGATACACACACACGCACACACACAGTTCTGCATTTACATTTCAGGTTTGAAGCTTTTGTTTAGCGCTTCAGATTCCCAGATGTCCACATTACCAGTAGCCAATAGTGAGGAGCACAAAGGTCAGAGCCACAATGTCCTGAGCTCAAGGGAAATATGGATGATGAACACACACACACACACGCACACAGCAGCACGATGTGATGTGATGGAGGTTATTAGCATTTCATTATATAGAGCAAATTTATGCAAAAAATAAGAAGATTAAAACTCAGCTTTCACTGTATTTTTTCCTATTGTGTCTCCATGACTCTACCAGTGTCTATAATATATTATCAGATTATTGATGGTATTCAGGTGTTACTTGATCCAATCTGGGTCGCATTAATATTTGTTTCACCATGCTCTCAATATAAACCTAAATTTTGGCAAATTTGACTTCTTTTTTTGTATTTATTATGTTGTCTGAACATTTCTGTTTTCACTTAAATACACACATTTGCATTTTAAGTAATATAATTTTGCTTTATCTCTACCTCTCTAACCAGGTTCATACATTCAGAGGCCCCCACTGGTGTGAGTACTGCGCCAACTTCATGTGGGGTCTCATCGCTCAGGGAGTTAAGTGTGCAGGTAACACACACACACACACACACACACACACACACACACACACAACCCCCAAAAAAAGATTCAATATCTGCTCCTTTCTGCCTCCTCCACTGTGTTCGACATGTTGCGCCTCCTCTCTCTGAAACCGTGACTCAAAAACGGGACAGCGGGCTTAAAGTTAGTCACCGTTGCTGTTGACTCATCGGCTGTGTAGCGTGGCTTTTAAATGTTAAAAGATTCATTTTGGTGCCACAGAATACACTGTCTGCGTGACGAACTGTGCCTCTGCAATGCCTCCGCTTAAATGCAAATTTCTAGTTATTACGATCAAAGTAAAACTACGTTTACGAGGCAGTCCTTTCTGTAAAGATGCTGGTGAGCTGATTCTCTTTTCATATTTGGTCTTTCTCTGCCAGACTGCGGGTTGAACGTCCATAAGCAGTGCTCCAAAGTGGTGCCGAACGACTGCCAGCCGGACCTGCGGCACGTCAAGAAGGTGTACAGCTGCGACCTGACCACGCTGGTGAAAGCCCACAACACCAAGAGGCCCATGGTGGTCGACATGTGCATACAGGAGATCGAGGCCAGAGGTGAGAGGATTCTGTCGTTTGCTGCGATTTAGAGAGAGAGAGAGAGAGAGAGAGAGAGAGAGAGAGAGAGAGAGAGAGTCAGGATTTTATTGACTACGATTCAAGACCTGAGTGAAACTAACACGTGAAATCAATGACGACTGAGTTCTAGTGATTGAACTTGACAGGAGCACGAGAGCAATTTACTTCTCATCCCCCACTGTCTGTGTGTTAGTCTCTCATCAATCTCCACTGCTGCCCTTCTCTCTTCGTTTATACCTCGTCTGTGTGTGTTTAACTCCTATTTCTGTCTCCTTCAGCTTCATTTGTTTAAAGCTGTTCTGTTGGCACATCAGGAGAGAAACTATTGTGACAAACTCATTGTTGTATAGCTGCAGAATAATCAACCCATTTGAAAATTTGTGCTGCAAATGTTTATTTTCATTTTGAACTATTTTGCATATTGTTTCCTACATTAATCGAATAATCGTTTAGTTTAAACATGTAATAAAATAGTAAGAAATGCATGTCGGGTGTCTTTAGATGTTTGTTTTTGACAAAGCAGCTGTCCAAAACCCAACGCTATTCAGTGAATTTTGTCATTTTCAATTGAAACAAATGAACGACGGCATCCCTTCAACTCTCGTTGTCCGTCCCAGGTCTGCAGTCGGAGGGTTTGTACAGGATATCTGGCTTCAGTGAGCTGATCGAAGACGTCAAGCTGGCCTTTGACAGAGGTGAGTGTCATGTTTCCTCTTACTGTTTTGAAGTCAGATATTCCATCCGCTGACCACAACCTTAACTCGTTGTTTTGGATCATTTGTTGGGACGACGTGTCCACAGATGGAGAGAAGGCAGACATTTCCTCAAATGCTTACGAGGACCTCAACATCATCGCCGGAGCCCTCAAGCTCTACTTCAGAGAGCTGCCTATTCCGCTCATCACATATGACGCCTACCCACGCTTCATAGAAACAGGAAGTAGGTCGTGTTTAGGTGTCCTGCATATGCGTCAAATCAGGAACAGATGTGTGTGAATTGAATATTGCCAGTTGTTTTGTTTACATTTTGTCATATTTTGGTGTTTGTGTGTTGCAGAGATCGCAGACGCAGAGAAACGCCTGGAGTCTCTCCACGAGGCCTTAAAGCTGCTGCCGCCGGCTCACTGCGAGACGCTGCGATGCCTCATGGCTCACCTCAAGAGGTCCGAGCACGCGAGTCGTGGTTCTCACTTAATCACGTACTTTTAGTCGTGGCGGCGGAGTCGTTTAAGATCTCGCTTAATGACGGGGGTTTAATCACCCGATCCAGCTTTTCCGTCCTGTTCCACATATTTCCCTTCCTCTCTCATTCCAGAGTGACCGAGTACGAGAAGGAGAACCTCATGTCCAGCGAGAACCTGGGTATTGTCTTCGGACCGACGCTGATGAGGGCCCCCGGGCTGGACGCCATGACGGCGCTCAACGACATCCGATACCAGAGACTCGTGGTGGAATCGCTCATTACCAACGAAGATGTATTGTTCTGAGAGGAGGAGGGGAGGGAAAGGATTCTTCCAGGGAGGAGAGGAAGGACAGACTCATCAGGAAGTACTCCTGTGAAAAGATGCAAGAAAAAAGGTGACTTTTTTTACAAGAAAAATGAAAAAGAAACGCGTAACATACATGGAACTTGTGTCTCGCTAGAGAGGACGACAAGAGTTTTTGTGTGGAGTGGAAGGAGGGAACAATGAAGGAAGTGACTATTTTCAATGAAGGAAATGATTTTTAAAAAAGGGAGAAGAAGTAGATGGAAGCATGCAGTGTTTCCCTACATCGTGTGAAGTTAAATTAAGGAGTTTTACTCGATAGAAATAAACAAATATGATCTCTCTTGATGAGAAAGGACAGATGCATAACATGTTCTCCATCGTTAGGAGAAACAAATTCAACTTTGTCTATGTCGGGGAAACACTGTGTGATCCATCTTTGTGTTGATATCGTTCTTAAATGGATGCCTTGACAGTTTGTTACTTTCTTCGCCACACTGATTTTAGGTGCGCTACCTTTAAGAACCTTGCGTTAGCATTGTTAGCATTCGTCACCGAAGCCGAATGAGCCACAAGCTCATAAACAAGCGTCACCTCGTGGCTTCAGTAAAAGAAAATGCTCCTTATTAATCATGTTTTTCCTCAAACTGTTGTGGGAAGATATTAGTTTGTTTTCCATAGTGTCAAGTTATCCATTTAAGCCTCCTTAAGAGAAGAAGAAGACAGCTGGATGGATGAGTGGAAAAAGGGAGCAACCCGCCCTCATTCCTCTGAATGGAACTAAAGTGACTTTGGACCTATTTGTCTTTTGAAACTCTTCACTTAACAGCTCCCTCTTCTGTTCCTCTGACTGAACATGTAATGATGCAGTCATCTAACACAAAGCATTTTTAGTTGCTAACATATTAATAAGGACACCCTTTTTGTGTCATATTATAAGAGTTGTTTGAGACTTGTTGCTGTATAATTACTTGACAACTGATGGGGCTGTACAGTAACATTGTTTTTTTTTTTTTCTTATTGTCCCTGAACCAAAGGTGAAATATTACACTTACATTGTGTGTCATGCGGCCCATTTAAAGGGAAGCTTTGGTACATTTCCCTCCTGATCTACAGCCTCTTCTTCTTCTCCATCGGGGCTTTAAAATCAATCATTTGAAACAGAAATATGTGAAACAGTGCTTTATGTTGTTTTGGCTTTGCTCTGGTTTGTCGTTTGTATAAAGCAGTATTGTCATTAAGCTGATTTTGAAATACTAATTAAAATTCTTCATCGCTCTCCTGGAAGCAATTCAAACAGATTGAAATATTTTTTTTTCCCGACTTTATTGGCCTGAGTGGGTTTTGAGATTATTTGAAATTTGATTGCCCCGAAACATTAAAGCAAAGAAACTCAATAAAACCCAAACTCATAATGTTAATTACTCTGTATCCGTGTTTGAAGACGGGGCTGTAATAGTGATTCCACTGACGTGTTTTGAAGGATGATACAACTGTGAAATAGTGAGAAATAATAGTGCTTACCCATGAGTAAAGGCCAGTTTGGATCATTTGTATTGAACACTTTATTTCTAAATGAGATTGTACCTAAATACAAGTGTTTTGTAATCAAATGCCATACAGATGTTTGGAGATGAGCTAACGGGCTAAACGTTGCTGAAGGTTTGCTGTAATGTTTTGCTCTGATGTGATGAAAGCAGTATTAAATGTGGGATGATGTCGCTAATCATCTGTAACATGAAGGAGTGAACTTTTATTTTTGAACTAGAGCCATTTGAAAAGAGGGGGAGGTGTTCTGCATGTTACACCCCCCCCCCCCCCCCCACCACCACCACCACCACCAGCTAACACACTAAATCCCTTTTCATTCATTTCTACCCCCATTTCTGTCGGGGGGGGGGCACTGATTACCTGCTCCAGTGCACTTCATTAGAGGTGTAACATTAGTCTTTTTTCTAACAAATCCAGAGTTTGTGTTTTTCATGTGATCTTTATTTTGACTGTTTGTTACTAACTACCATCAACCTAAACCAATGAAAACATGCGAGCCTTCAGTGTTTGTTTTTTGGCATCATGAAATGTTGTTTTTTATTATAATTTACTGTCATTGCTGTAAAGTTTTTTCTTTCTGGTTTCTGCATGATGAAATTAAATTATTAAATACTCTCAGTTGCTGCATGTTTGATTTCTGGTTTATATGCACACACCAACAATTCATTAATAAATGAATACTGAACTTTTTTTGCACAATAAGTCAGAACAGCCTGTGGAACCACTGAACTACGTTATATTGGGACAGTGCAACAATGCCTAATATTATGAGAGCCAACTGTTTTGCTCAAAGTGTAAATACATCCCTTAAGAAATGACGTAATTACATTATGCGCAGCTATGAAACTCGTATATGACGTAATCTCAACAGGTTTTTGACAGTGCAGTCAAGTCTGTAGCTGTTTTTGATACTTTCCATCACAGTGTCGTGTGCACACTTGAGGTGAGGGAGGATTGTGTTTGGCCTTCTCCCATTGGCTGCTGCGTAATTGAAGGTCTCGGAGGTCGACGGACGTCTGAAGACGCACTGCTCGGTCACTTCGCCGTTATTACCGTGTAGTTTGATATATCGAGCGAGTAGTGTATCTTTGTTGTAGACATTGTCGGGATTAGCTGCAAAACTTCTGTAGAATAAAGCGGACCGGGAGGTACAGGCGGACGTATTTTGCGCTGCACGTTTTCGACCGGACTTTCGGAGGAAAACTCGACGAAAAGGTGTTCAAAACAGCCTGTTTTTTCTGCGGCCTGTGGGTGAGTTACTAACAATAATACGACAACTCTTACGCACCGTATTGTTTGTTACCAGTTGCCTTTGTTAAATTGTTCATGTAAACGTGTGCAAGATATATTTTTTTAGGGCGTTGGCTTTGGGCTAAAAGCTAACTTTACTCACGCGTTCTTGCGTTGGCTATGCGCAGCAGCTCAGTTTAAAGCTAACAAGTGACGTAGTGTGCCGCGACTGAAATGAACTGGTGAGGTAACTTATTATTATATACAGGTGCTGGTCATATAATTAGAATATCATCAAAAAGTTGATTAATTTCACTAATTCCATTCAAAAAGTGAAACTTGTCTATTATATTCCTTCATTACACACAGACTGATATATTTCAAATGTTTATTTCTTTTAATTTTGATGATTATAACTGACAACTAAGGAAAATCCCAAATTCAGTATCTCAGAAAATTAGAATATTGTGAAAAGGTTCAATATTGCAGACACCCGGTGCCACACTCTAACCCTTGTGTTGTCCTCCCGATTGCCATACACTTGTTGTCCTCTGGGGTCAAAAATGACCCCACCTGGGTTGACTGTTTTTAAAGCATATAGTATAAATTGTCAATCAATTCTGTTTTACACCTTTAGTCTTACTTCAGTCCAACACATTACCACACATTTTTACCTTTGTTTTGGAATTTAGGGCCAATAGACCTTGTTTACATAAAAGTATACCCTGTTTTTGAGTGAAAATACAATGAAACAATGAATTATTTTGACTTTATATTATTTTTGACTATTTGACTTATCACAGAGAGGTATATATCAAAGTTTAGTGAGGATGCTGTTCTTGAATCATTTGAATTTTTTTAATGGCAGCAAATAATAACACCTGTTGTCCTCTGGGGTCAAAAATGACCCCGTCTGGTTTGACTGTTTATAAAGTGTAAATTATCACCCAACTCTGTGTTTCAACTTTTTAGTCAACTTTATTCCAACTCATTACTGACATAAAACATGTCAACATTCATTTCCAAAACATTTAACTTTGCAAAACTAACTTTTCAGAAAAAAACAGTCTGAATGTGCCCTCAGATGCATGCAAGGCAGGTTGTAATGGCATGACTTTTGCAGATGTATGCATTGCATTTTTGGCACGTTTGTGTTGTTTTGAGATCACTCTGGCGAGGGCACAATTGGCACCTTCCCCTTTTGCATGGAGGGGCAGCTGGGCGAGGGGGAGCTGCTGCAGAGGTAGAGCTGGAGTAGAGCTGCTGGATAGACATAACCATTCTGGCAGCGGCTGGCGTGCGGGGAATAACCTGTCAAGTCAAGTCAAACTTTATTATAACAAATCACAGTACAAATACAAATAGTTCAAATTGTGAGGTCACTACAGAAGGAAGAGCAACATAAATGTAGCTTAATGCTGACCATGCGTCGCTTGATGTGAGGTATCACCAGTTGTCGCCCAAGCTCCTCCATGAACAGTCTCCTCCTGTTGGACTTCCCCTGATTCCAGGCTGGCTTGATCTCAGACCACAGGACAAATGAGTTGTATGCAGACACGTCGAGAATGTTGAAGAAGACAACGAGGGGCCAACAGGCTGTCTTCCTTTTGCACGTGTACACACTGGTAACCTGAAACAAAAGAAACAAACCAAAAAATATTCAGAAATGTAGGTTTATTTTCCTACATACAAATTCAATGCATTATCCTTTCCATATATAATATTATAAATATTATGAATAATAAATGTGCATTACCTTGTCAAGGTTATCGACACCCCCTTTGTTGTGATTGTAATCTTCGATGATTTTCGGCCTTTTGTCATCCCTGTTGCTCACAGCAGCATCCCGATGCAGAGTGCTCATCAGAAGAACATTTCTCTGTTTTTTGGGGTGATAGGACACCAGAGCATGGGTCTCGGTGAAGGCAAACTTCGATGAGAACAGAGCCCTGTCCGTTTTTGACACCAGTGCAGGGGGAAGCTCAGGCTTATTCCTCCTTACTGTTCCCACCATGTACAGCTTTCTTTTCAGCAGCTGCAGGCCAAGGGCATGTGAAGTGAAGAAGTTGTCACAGGTGATCGTTTTCCCCTGGAGACCTCCTGTCATGTCAAGGACAACTCGCATGCCCTGATTTTTTTCTGACTGCGCACCAGCAGGTTTGCCAGTGTATATTTGCATGTTCCATGCATAGCTGGACCTGGCATCGCATGCTGCCCATATTTTGATCCCATATTTCCCTGGTTTACTCGGGATGTACTGTTTGAATGGACAGCGACCTTTGAAGGGGACCAGGCGCTCATCCACAGTCACATTTGTGCCTGGATTGTACATCAATGGCAGGAGAGACACCCACTTATCCCATACGTCTCGAATGTGAGCAACTTTGTCTCGTGCACGGCGGTCTTCTCTTGTGTCTTTATCATCAAATCGAATCACTCTTGAGATTTTATGAAACATCTTGAGTGTCATGGTAGCACGGAAAATTGCCCTACCAGACTCGGCATGCCATAAACTAGATGTAGCTTCTTTACTGGATCGGTACACGCCAGCGAGAATCAACAAACCCACATATGCCTGCAGGTCCATTCGATCCATCTTTCTCCACTTGTTGCCATACACACGTCGCCCCTCCTTGTTTGTCATGTTCAGCACCACCTCTTCAATAGGCTTGGGCAGAAACAGGTCAAAAGTGGACTTTATGTCATCAATACGAGACCTTGCATATGCGGTTGGACCATGGTGGCTTGTCTCTCTCTCTGCTCTCTCGACTGTCAACATGCGTCGTCTGTCACTGGGAGGGATGGAAGACCAGATCATTTTTTCATCCTTTGACTGGAAATATTCTTCTATCGCAGCTGGGTCCTCTTCCTCAGATTCCTCCTCATCAGTTGATTCTTCCTCTTCATCATGATAATTGCAGTCCTCCACTTCTGACACTTCTTCCATTTCAGCTTCAGATTCCTCCTCATCAGTTGATTCTTCCTCTTCATCATAAGTGCAGTCCTCCACTTCTGACACTTCTTCCATTTCAGCTTCAGATTCCTCCTCATCAGTTGATTCTTCCTCTTCATCATAATAAGTGCAGTTCTCCACTTCTGACACTTCTTCCATTTCAGCTTCAGATTCTACCTCATCATGGTCATCATTTTCCTGCCCTTCTTCGATTTCAGTGGGCGATGTGGGGGCTTCTTCAGAGGAAGTAGTAGCATGTGGTCTGTAGGTTGGATCCATCACCTCATCATTATTTTCCGCCTCTTCTGACCCTGAATCTTCCTCATCAGTTGATTCTTCCTCCTCATTATGTTCAGCATTGTCCTCCTGGTTATTCTTTTCCACATCATAGTTCAAAATTACCTCACAAGCCTCCTGTGCAGTATAGCGCTTCTGCCTCCTCATTGTGCTGCCTGTCTCTCTCTAAAATGTGAAATGCCCCAACACCTGCGAGAAAAGACCTATTTTTTTGTTGTCATAACCATTGCTTGACCCCACACATCAAACATCCAAGATCAAAGATGTTTTGGAAAGCAGTATGGTGTGACAATTTGCCCCATTGAGCCACTTTGTGCTGCGGGGTCTTTTTGACCCCAGAGGACAACAGAAGTTATTCAATTCAATAAATCACCGTTAATTCAATCAAATTACCTCAAATTTATTTTAATCATGAAGAGCATAGTATTGAACGCCCCCCATTTTTTTCAGACCATTTGATGAATAAAAAACATATTTTGACAGCAAAAGATTTCTTCTGGGGTCATTAATGACCCCAGGACAACACAAGGGCTGATCAGCTAATTAACTCAAAACACCTGCAAAGGCCTTTAAATGGTCTCTCAGTCAAGTTCTGTAGGCTACACAATCATGGGGAAGACTGCTGACTTGACAGTTGTCCAAAAGACGACCATTGACACCTTGCACAAGGAGGGCAAGACACAAAAGGTCATTGCAAAAGAGGCTGGCTGTTCACAGAGCTCTGTGTCCAAGCACATTAATAGAGAGGCGAAGGGAAGGAAAAGATGTGGTAGAAAAAAGTGTACAAGCAATAGGGATAACCGCACCCTGGAGAGGATTGTGAAACAAAACTGATTCCAAAATGTTGGGGAGATTCAGAAAGAGTGGACTAAAGCTGGAGTCAGTGCTTCAAGAACCACTACGCACAGACATGGGTTTCAGCTGTCGCATTCCTTGTGTCAAGCCACTCTTGAACAACAGACAGCGTCAGAAGCGTCTCACCTGGGCTAAAGACAAAAAGGACTGGACTGCTGCTGAGTGGTCCAAAGTTATGTTCTCTGATGAAAGTAAATTTTGCATTTCCTTTGGAAATTAGGGTCCCAGAGTCTGGAGGAAGAGAGGAGAGACACACAATCCATGTTGCTTGAGGTCCAGTGTAAAGTTTCCACAGTCAGTGATGGTTTGGGGTGCCATGTCATCTGCTGGTGTTGGTCCACTGTGTTTTCTGAGGTCCAAGGTCAACGCAGCCGTATACCAGGAAGTTTTAGAGCACTTCATGCTTCCTGCTGCTGACCAACTTTATGGAGATGCAGATTTCATTTTCCAACAGGACATGGCACCTGCACACAGTGCCAAAGCAACCAGTACCTGGTTTAAGGACCATGGTATCCCTGTTCGTAATTGGCCAGCAAACTCACCTGACCTTAACCCCATAGAAAATCTATGGGGTATTGTGAAGAGGATGATGCGAAATGCCAGACCCAACAATGCAGAAGAGCTGAAGGCCACTATCAGAGCAACCTGGGCTCTCATAACACCTGAGCAGTGCCACAGACTGATCGACTCCATGCCACGCGCATTGCTGCAGTAATTCAGGCAAAAGGAGCCCCAACTAAGTATTGAGTGCTGTACATGCTCATACTTTTCATGTTCATACTTTTCAGTTGGCCAAGATTTCTAAAAATCCTTTGTTTGTATTAAGTAATATTCTAATTTTCTGAGATACTGAATTTGGGATTTTCCTTAGTTGTCAGTTATAATCATTAAAATTAAAAGAAATAAACATTTGAAATATATCAGTCTGTGTGTAATGAATGAATATAATAGACAAGTTTCACTTTTTGAATGGAATTAGTGAAATAAATCAACTTTTTGATGATATTCTAATTATATGACCAGCACCTGTATAGTATTAACTAACTACCTAACTATTTATATTAACATCGGTCCTATTGTTCCACGTGTTTTAATGGCGATGCCACGTAGGCCCACTTCACAAACGAATGTGAAACTATATGCAGCAATGTGTCACCGCTCCCTTTGTAGGTTTACTTTGACTTTTTATAAAGATTGTGCCGTTTTGAATTCAAAATATAAAGTTATACTCCTGAACTTCATGTAAATATTGGGATTTGACAATAATAAATTGGCATTTATGGGAATGGAAAGTGAAGATGCATTTCATTTTTTTTCGTTGGCTATATTTTCATCCATCTGAGCAGAATTAAATTAACTTTACACATCGGGCGTTGTCGGCATCGATGTTTGGGTTTACAGAAATTATATCCATTTTGTGGACATGACAGTGGTAATTGACGCAAGCGCAGTGGACGGCAGAGTCTACAGTGGTAGTGAGAATAGCGTTGGCTCCATCTTGTGGACAACGAGAGGAATTACAAAAAAATGACAAAATGTGTTTTTGAAATGTGGGGATTTGTTTTGCATTTATGAAAGGATGACTCATGATATATCCCCATATATTATCAAACAGTATTCATAGTTAATATTGTTTTACATTATACTTGTACTTGTACACTATACAACCAATAGCTTCAGTTTAGTTTTGTAACTAAAGCCTGTGCTGTAGTGGCTGGAAATAATGCTTCCAATTGTGTTGAGTTTTTGATATGTGGACATTTGGGTTGATTTGTTTCGCATTTATTTGAGTGTTGTGTCCGCCGTTAATCGAGGCAAGTGCATTTGACTGCAGGCCAGTGGTAGTGAAAATAGCTTTGCCTCCCTCTTGTGGACAACGAGGAACTACAACAACAACAAAATATGTTGAGTTTTGTATGTGGCCATTTGGGGTGATTTGTTTCGCATTTATTTGCGGATGTCTTCTGATACAACCAAATATACTGTCAAGCAGTGTTCATAATTCGTAAAGTGCGACACTATAGTTCCAGCTCCTATTTAATGACTTCCGGTTTTACTGTAAGTGTAGCCTCGTTGGCGCAGTAGGCAGCGCGTCAGTCTCATAATCTGAAGGTCGTGAGTTCGAGCCTCACACGGGGCATCACTTTTGCGAGTTTGAGTCTCACAAGGTGCATGTCTTTTCCTGTTTAGTTAATAAACCGAGGGGAAACACTGAGTCTGCACATCATTATATAGACAACATATTTCTACATTGATTGCTGGTGCTGCTACCACTGTTACCTTTCTTGCCACTGACAACAAAACTGCTACTATTACGATTACTGCCACAACTACTACTAGTAATACTACTTCTACTACCACTGCTCCTGCTGTACCCCGCATTTCAATACAACTATACTACTACGGCTACCGTTACCAATAAGATTACAGATGTTTTTGTTGTACATCACGCCCGGCTAGCTCAGTCGGTAGAGCATGAGACTCTTAATCTCAGGGTCGTGGGTTCGAGCCCCACGTTGGGCGCAGTCTTTTTTCTTTCCTATTATCTTCTGTGCCCTGTGGACCATTCAGAAAACTGTCGAAATACTGCTGTTGTTAGGTCACAGAAAGTAATTTTAGGATGTCCTTAGGCAAGAAGTTAGTTTAAGCATCAAATCTGTGGTCGGTTTATCAAGATTCAGCTGATTTAAAAATCTGCTCCGAAGATTTCTTGTGGCACACCGAATTGTGTGTGTGTGTGTGTGTGTGTGTGTGTGTGTGTGTGTGTGTGTGTGTGTGTGAGAGAGAGCATTGGTGGTTCAGTGGTAGAATTCTCGCCTGCCACGCGGGGCAAGCCGTGTATAGTTGGCATACGCTGACAGCCAATGAAATTGCAGCATTATTAACGCTGTCCAAGGTGCTCAAAATCCACTTTCATATAGCTGGTTTCAGCTCCTGGACGCAGATTCGAGTCTCACTTGGGGCTAAGCTACACATCAATGATAAAGAGCTATTTATAAATCAAGAAATGTTTATCCAACTTTACCTTTTACTGATTATCAATAGATTGTAGTGGCAGATAGATTATCAAGTACTTGACTTATTTATGGCTATTAACCTATTATATAGCAGTTTTCCTAATTATGAACATTTAAATTGCAATCACTTAATTACTTCAATTAAATATTTATTTACTGTTCACTATAATGATTCACTTATTAATGAGACATGTAGACATTAGTGAACAAAACATAATTTATTAAACACAACAGGGACAGTGACTGTTGAACACAGAGCCCATAGTGCAAATACACAACACAAATATGTACAACAAATACAAAAAATAATCCAGTAAAAAATAATCTAATTATTAAAATGTATATACACGCCAAACACTCCCCTTTTCTCTTACTTTCCCTTTTCAACCTCCCATCTCTTTTTTTTCTGTCTCATAAAAAGGAGACCCCTGGAAATTCATTCCAGGTCATCTCCTTCTCCATGCCCTGGTCTTTGTAAAGGGAAAAGTCTTTGCCAGGGCAGTAAATATACTTCACTGTTAGTCCAGGGAACCCCGTATGAATGTGAGGACTGTTTGGGCCCTGCTTCAGCTCCATCTTACAGAATCCGCACTTGCGACCTGTAGGCTGGGATTCAGTCCTCTTCCTCTTCTGCTGTCCTCTCTCCTCCACCCTTTTCCTTGTGGCAGCCAGTTCTAGCTGAAAGAACTTTGTCTCTGCAAAGTCTACAAAGGGCATTCTTGAGTTTGTCAGACCTTCTGCACCATAAGCTTCAAAAACTTTAGTGGAGCAGTAAAAGTATCTGATAGGGCCCTGCTGGTAGAAGAAGTGGATAGATGAACCATCGTTGTCATACCTGGACTTTGGCTGGCCACAAGAAAGACACCTTTTTGTCTGGGCCTTCTTTTTCTTTGACTGTTGTTGTTGTTGCTGCTTCTCCATGATGTTTTGTACTATCTTCTCAATGGAGGCTTGAGTCAGGGTGTGAACAGGTGGAGGTGGGTTAATGACTGCAACGGGCAAGGTCACAACTGGCACACTGGTGGTCTCACTGCCCTCTGTCAGAGACTGCCAGAGTTCCTGCCTCTCTTGCAGTTTTTCTGGGCTGATGTTCAAAGATGAGCTGGTGTTTAACAACTTGCTCAGGTGCTTTACATGCAGTGAGATGTGCAGTTTTGTTGTTGGGTGAAGCATGCTGTTGGGGTCTGTACATGAGTTGTGGACAAGAGCGGCATAGTTCAACGTAGTGTCCACACAGCGAAGAGCTCCAGAAAATGCGGGCTGTCAATGCTCTTTCCAGGCTCCGACTGACTGACGAACACCGGAGAAAGTCTTTCACTCGCAACACGGCACCACAGCGCTGCTGGTGGCCAAATATATATTACATCCGTACTGGTTTAGGACCACCATTGAAAATGAATGGGAAACTGTTTAGGGAGTTTTCGCTAAAGAATTCCCGGGTGCCGCGTGCGAGGCCCGGGTTCGATTCCCGGCCAATGCAACATACCTTTTTCTTTTTGCGAGGGGGAGGATTCTGTTCTTACATGACCTACCTTGAGGTAGTCAAAAAGCTCAGCGGCACGGCGCCAGGGGTGGACGAGGTTTGCCCTGAGATGCTGAAGGCTCTGGACATTGTTGGTCTGTCTTGGCTAGTAGTTCTTCGAGATCGGATTTCACCGCTCACGTGGCCAATGATGTAGAAATCCAAAAGGAGGGAATTAGGATCAGCGGCCTGCTTGATCTGATCCCAAATAGTGCTTTGTTGCTGGACTAATGTGCTTGTCATTGGACACAACAAACACCATGTTCAAGTACAGGGCTATTCATAAGTGTACTTTGTACCAGAATAACCAAGGCCAAAGATCAATGATCAACTTTGGGGTCAGATCATCAGAACTTTGACTGAATGTCTTGGACACCTGGGTGAAGAGAATAGCAGAGCAGACCTCGGGCGTGAAGTATGCATGAACAGGGACACTATCCTCCGCCGGACTTCGGCTGTCCCCCTCCGAGTTCCATCCAAACCTACCAGCAGCAGCCGCACACAAGCGGCTTCCAGGCCAGCATGTGGAGCTGGAGCGAGACTTCCTCCGAGCCTGTGTGGGACTGCAGCGGCCAGGCAGGATGGCGGCACGGGGCAGCGACAGAGTTCGGTTTCCCCTCGGGTCGTGGAAACTATGGACAGAAACGTCCACACGGTGAGTAGCCTATACAGTGTATTAATGGTGATTAAATCCCCCAAAAAACAATCACAAGGGTACTATAGCCAGCTTAAAATGGCTTCTTTCATCCACAGCCAGACAAAATGCTAGTCTTTTAATGATCATATTGAAAACAGGCAACTAATGTATCTGTAAAAATCACATTTGACCATTGTACTTGACCTTTTCTTCCTGAAAGGGCCAACTGTGAGGAATTAATGCATCTACCATCATGACCATATTAGTGATGATTTTTCTAAGACAAACCAATCTTTTAAAACACTGTGGGAAAGTATTAAAGGGATACTCAGGCGATTTAGTGTTAAAAGTGTGCAGTGTCCAAGCCCGAGATGAGATAACCCCGATGACATCAGTATGACACCATCAGGGTTTTTTCTCAGAGTTTTTCTCAGACTTGACAAAGTCCCTTCAGAGCCACAGAAGACACAGTTCACAGCCCTTTATTAGTCATAAAGAAAGCATTGTCACATTATTAAAAATTAAGAGTTGATGTGTTTGTTTGTGTCAGGTCAAAACTTTGGTCGCGAATGGCATCGAGGTGGAAGACAGAGTCACGGAGCCCCCCATAACATGGGAAAAAGGTACCTATCTGTTGGAACACTACAACTATAATCATGATCTTAACCTTTAATAAATATTATCAAACAACAGCAGCATGGTCTGCACCGAGAACAAGCCCAGCTACAGCTGATCTGTCTATAATCCACAGCAGAAAAACAAGAAAGAACCAGAGTATTCCCATTTTTGTGACACTTGTGACCGCGCCTTCAAAAACCAGGAGAAGTACGATGAGCATGTTTCTCAACATGTCAAGGTAGTTTTTCATATCTTTAAAGTCTATAATATAAGTACAGATTGCTTTTTTGTGGCGTTTAATTCATGGAAGTAATCAAGTTCCTCTGACTACCTCCATCAAATCTCTTTCGTAGTGTTCTGTGCCAGACTGCAGCTTCATGGCTCATGAAAAACTAGTCGGCATCCACTGGAAAAACGTAAGTGAAACAACTCGCTGTGTATCTTAAACTTACATTATTTTCCCTTTGTTAATATCAGTCTTTTCTATGTCCTGACTGCAGAACCATGCACCAGGTGCTAAAAGGATCAAGCTGGACACACTGGACGAGATTATGAAATGGAGAGCGGAGAGGTGCAAGTCAGTAATCTAATTCTATTCCCATTCTAATTTATTTTAGCTGGACACACCGGACAAGATTATGAAATGGATAGCAATCAGCAGAAGTCAAAAGCTAACTTTAGGCTACCAACAAACTTCACCATGGTCACATGACTTCACAGCCACCACTAAGCTATAGAACGCTAGTGCTCGTTTTGTCGTCTCATTTAGTCGCTTGTCAGCAACCACCTTTATAAGACACCTTAATGCTTAAGAATTCACGAGTGGTGCATTTACTATTACTAATACTTTTTAATGTCATAGAACAAAGTGTTGCTTGTGTTAACAACAGACCTTCATTCAGGCATCTAACCAAAATTATAAAGTATTGAGAATAGAAGTTGATACCTTCCAAGTCTGGAAAAGTTTGTAAATAGCAGACAGGAAATGTGAAAATGACACCTATTCAACCTCTATATAAATAACTGCAATAACAAATCTTTGGTCATAATTGTTTGTCCGAACCCCAGATAATGTAAGTAGTTTAATTCGACCCAAAAGAGACTATTATAGGGAGGTTGTTTTTATTCTGTTACACATTGATTTGAAAAAAACAAACACTTAAAATCTATCAATATTCTTTTTTCTTGTGTTTCAGACATCCCTATTCAGAGAGCCAAAGACCTTGTGCAAGAAAACCAGGCTCTTCTAAACACAATACCACAAAAGTGTCCGGACAGAGGGCCTTCGAGAGGGCTGGAAACCTCTTCACCGGTTACAGAGGCCCTTCACACTCCTAACGGCGGAAGAGGAAGAGGTTTAAGGGGACGAGGACGAGGAGGCAGGGGAGGAAGGGGCGGTAGAGGAGGACACAAGATACACTGCAGACGCGTCGTCCCACTCTACTCGAGATGGTATTATTATACAAGCATATTTCACAGGATTTTTTTATTTAGATAATAAAAAGATATTTCAATGTAGATTATCTATATAATGCAGCATCTCTATTTTCTTTCATTCTGTTTATTTATCTTATTTTCTGAGGCATGAAAGTGAGACATTTGTCTTTCAAAGGTTGATGTTAATACTTAGAAATTGTTATTTTTCAAGGACTATTGTTTTTGATGTGATGTTAGTTTGACTAACAATATCCAGTTATATTTTTGTGACATGCTTTATACTGAAGAAATACATTTTTTTCTTATGAAATAAATCATATAATCTATTGATCATTTAACAGTTGTGAAAATGTTTGTTTAATTCTATTTTGAGCTTGATTTATGGATATGTTTATGATGTATGTGTTGTTTTTTAGTTGTAAAATGAAAGGAAACCCATGTTAATTCTGTGTATTTATGACTCTTTATTATATCATATGTGCAGTAACACATATTATGAGCAGTGTCGTTGCAACATAAGAATTCGTTGAGTAAAAGCCAGAAGATGAAATTTTAGATTGATGAAAGAAGCGGAAACAAACAATGAAAATAATTAATGAATGAAAACATATCGTTTTTTTGAATAATTATGTCCTGTATTGACACTTACGGTATAAAGAACATTAAATCCCTCCGAAATAAACACGATGCTTTGGTTCTATATAAAGGTTTACTGCTCATTGTCAAACGCTGCACCGCCCGCCGGACTGACCGGGGTTGTAAAACGAGCGCAGCCACGTCCCCTAGAAACCACCTGAGCGTTTCACCTCTCTCAACGTTTGGGTAGCAACAGCCAAGTTGTCTATCGGTATGCGAGTCAGTAAGTTGGTAACATTGGACGATAACATATTATGCAAGCTACGTTAGTGAGAAGAACAATATATACGTGGCGTCTGTAAGTCAGTAGTTATTAGAAAGTCATATCATGGCTGGAATACGCGTTGACCCCCCGCGTGTCGACTTCAACGACGTGAGAGTCGGGACGGTTTACAGGACCAAAGTCACGGTAACAAATGTTGGGAAACGTTCGAAGACAATATTGATGGGGAAGCCTGTGTTAAAGGTAAAGCAACTTCTGAGTTATTATTTCTTTCATTAACTAATAAGGTATACGAAATTATAGAACGAAGATGACTTGACGTTAGCTTAATTAATAGGGATTTGGCGTTGACGCTAGCTTAATTGCTCGGTAACGCTTAGCTAACACCTTGTGCGAGAAGTTAAGCTAACTTTATCTAATTAACTCACTGAGCTAACTAACTTTAATTACGCTAAACATGGACCTTGTTGGTTTGATAAGATACGACCACGTCCAATAATATCAACCAATTCAATAATCTATGTCTATATCTAACGTTATCCATTTATCTATATATCCATATATCTAGTTATCATTAGTCATGGTATTTATCAACAGGGCATGTCCTAGCTAGATTGTGACATTGTGTAAAACAGATAATATTGAAATATGAATTTGTTTAATATCTATTTTACCAGAATAGTACACTCTTTTTCCTCCTTTATAAGAGTTGTCCCTCAATTCCAAAGTGGTTCTTTTTAAACGCGTGATTGATGCCTTCCCCCACCCTTTTCTTCTTCTCTGTTTCTTTTGTCATGCAGTTGTTCAAGTTCACAGCATCCAGCACAGCCATGGTGGTGGCTTCTGGTCTGTCTGTAAGCGGCCTGCTTGAGTTTAATCCGGAGGAAGAGGAGGAGGTCAGAGACCGCCTTCTGATTCATGTAGATGATGTAGAGACCATCAAAATCCCTCTGCTGGGGTAAGCAGGCTACACATATGTTATACGCATATGATATATATACTAACCATATTAAGTACCAGACAAACTGCCATATGTTTTGACGTTTCAACACTCTGACTTTCTTTATATGTTCCTCTAGATTCCCCAGGGCTTGTTCCTTCCTAACAGACTCAGTACTAGACTTTGGGTGTATCGCCGCAAGCAGTCAGGTGATCAGCAAACATCACCGTATAACCAATCAGGGATCAGCACCAGGTAAATTGAGCCTGTCTCTCTTGGCCTGGAGATACTGAAACTGAAGTTGCTCACGTGGCGATGATGACATATTCATTTTCTCATACAAAGACTCCATGACTCATTAAATTAATGTATTATCTGCTCCTGTAAATGACACCTATCACCAGAAAACTCTTCTAAAGCCTGACAATGCAGTTACCTCCGTTGACTTGATCAGAATACGTATTTATGGATATTAAAGTTACTTCTGTTCCCTTATGAAGACATCATATCTCACAGCAAATGCATGAATGAGGGAGTATGTGTGCTCTGTTAACCCATGAACTGACTCAAGTGAAGGTACCTGTCCACTATTTCATATATTAAGATACTGCAGATCTTATTCACTAAACTCCCTCTGTGTTAATACTCATGTATTTGTGTGTGTGCATTTAAGGCGTGTTCCAGGTGCAGTACAATGGAGACCCCTCAGTTAGAATCTCACCCTGCAGTGGAGTCGTAGCAGCTGGTGCCACCCAGCGGCTGAATGTGGAACTGTGCACGGACAGACCCAGGCAGATTGATGAGAAGGCTCTGTAAGAAAGACTTTACAACACAGATAGCATGTATTGAAGGGATTGGACACTTAATGCTCAGCCACATATTTTAGATTTTTTACAGAAGTTTACATTTTTTTTGTTCTACCTTTTGTCCCAGGCTGAAGCTCCAGAATCGCTCTGCTGTGCTCAGTATAAAGGCTGAGGTGGTGGACCAGCACCTTGAGGTTTTTGACGAGCAGGTAATTCAGTGGTCCAAGTGGAATTCATAGAGTACTTAAGCTTGGACGGTACCAGAGATTAGTCTCTTTGGTCTGACTGACAGCTGAGCTGGGAATTATGGCACCTAAGTGTTTTGGGTTTAGTCTTCTTCAAACTACAAAAGCAGTTAATAGCCACATGATTTTATTCAACTGCCGGTCTGCTTCTACCCTCTGTATACCATTCTGTACTGTCGAGTTGTGTGCAGCGTAACATGGGAGGTAACAGCGAGTGAGTTAATGTTATAGATGTGAACGTAGGAGAGCAGTGTATATACAGTGTAGGCTATTTGTCGGTGGATAAATGCTATAACAAAACTCTGTGCTATTTTACAGGGGGCTCCACTCTCCCATCTGTTGTTTGGACCTGTATACTTCGGGACGTCCAGCGTGGAAAACGTGGTTCTGAGAAACAATTCACCCCGGGCATGTGACTGGGTTTGCCTGCTCCAGGATACTGCGGCTGGGACCGAGGCGGTGAGTGATGCCCTCAGAGAAAGTAGCTGTAGCTGGTTTGGAGGCCAGTTGTAATGAACTGAGTACATAACAAGGCTTTGACTGTGATCGCTGTGTAGGGAGTAGATCTTCTGAAGGGCACTGACGGGGCTCTGCTGGAGAGCTGCAGCCCAGTCAACCACGACGTCTCTCAGGTCTTGGTGTGCGTCCCCAGACAGGGTCGACTGGGACCGTATGATAAAACCAGTGTGGGACTGTGCTTCAGCCCCATGAGCAAGAGGTAAATTGTGGTGGAAAACCAAAAAATATATGCTAAGGAGTATGACATAACCGTAACATTTTATACTGCTACATAGAAATGTCAATGTACTAATGTTTTATAAAAAAGTTATGCATAAAATGTCCTTTAAAGTGACGAGAGAAAGCGCGATCACTCCACCAGACGGCAACACTACTGTCTCTACCTGCTGTTTGAGTCGGTGGAAAGCAGATGTGGCTTCACTCACCATAAGGGTACTCCAGACAAACACACATTCTCATGTCGCATTGCATATTATAATCCAATACAATCCATCACAGGTGCTCAGAGTACTGTTTCGAGCCAGACATTCAGGTCATGTAAATTAAGTCATTGCGTAGTTACCTGATGATTCAGTATAGCTGACATTAATTATAAATAAGTACAATATGTGAGGGATATTTTGATCAAACCAGTGTTTTTCTTTCCTCTTTAGGTAACAGCAGTGTGGAGCTGGCAGTGACAGGCTCTGGACTGCCTGTGTCTCTGGTGCCTCGTCCCTCTCGAACGTTCGATTTCCTCACCTGTGTGACAGGTCAACGCGTGGACCTGCTGTGCCTGCTGCAGAACCTCTGCCCTCTACTTCCTGTCAAATTCCGCTTCCGCAAAGCAGCGCATTTCACCACCAACCCCTCCACTGGCACAATTGGCCCCGGGCAATGCCAGGTAAGGATGGGGATTGATTGATTGATTGATTTTTATTCATAAATCTAAGCGGAGGAGCAAATGTGGGAACTTTTGTCTCTCTGTTGCATTCCTCAGGATGTAGTTTTGTCTTTCACTGCGGGGCAGCAAGGGCGCTTCCAGGTGTGTCAGAAGCTAGATGTCTTAGGTGATACTGTTCAGAGGACCAGTAACACCGCTGAAGATGTTACTGGAATTGAGCTTCACTGCTTCTACACCATCACTCTTAACCTGTCTGCTGTGTGCTGCAGTGAGACCACACACCCCGTGCCTAAACGGAATCCTGGTGAATATTGAAGGATAAATCCCACGAAAAGACCAAAACCAACAACGTGTCTGTCTCTCAATACTTTGCTCAGAAATGTCCTAAAAGCAGACAGGAGAAAATTGAAATAATAATCAAGATTTGGTGTCTATGAAATGCATCATCAGACTTTAGATGATCTTGACACACATATCTGTCCTCTCCAGCAGTGACCTGTCCGACCGGACCCCTGCCTCTCGTCCGGTACAGCGATCTGTCTCGCTGCCGCGGGATGGCGTTTGCCGCCGTCCTCTGCGCTGACCAAACGCGACTCCACGAACATCGCGGGCAGAGGAGTCAGAGGACGGAGGGGGAGGAGTTCTTGGCTTTTCCTAATGACCGCGCCACGAGCATCAGGCCTGCCGCCGCACACACACAGTACAGGTAGAGGTTAAAGAAGCACACTCGCTCTATATCGTCAACCAAAATGGGTTTGGGCTAAGTGCAACAGGAAATTGTAATTTTTATTGTTGTTAAAATGATCCCAGTTTAAAAATTCCACTGTTACTGAAGGATTCCTCCCTTTATCTTGTTCAGGACCATCTTCACCGGTGTACACCGCTATCGCTATGTGGACACCAGCTATGCTTTCACTGAGGAAGAAGAGGGGCAGAGACAGAGGGATCGACAGATTTACGCAGATTTCATCGAACAGCTCAGAAGAACTCGCCTGCAGAAGATCAGTGAGAGGTAGGCTGTCTCGTGAATTTTCTGATTGCTGACCATCTCAAGCTTTTCTATCAGAACGTTGTTTTTGGTTGTTAGACTGCAGGAAAAAGTGGAGGACAACGACGTGGATATCGGGATTGTTCCTTCTCACGGGCTCGTTCCACCTACACTCCGCATCAGTGACCTGGAGAGCAGTAAGATCTCAGAGACAAAACCGAACTACAGCTCTGCTTCTCCAGCAGCCAGACGTAGCTGCCCCGAAGACAGGACATCCATCAACCGGCAGCTTAACAGTCAGGTCAGATCAGATGTGCTCAAGATAAGTTAACTATTACACTGAGTGGAATTTCAATGCAGAATTCAGGGGGAAAGTTTTCTTCTTAAGCTGTCTCAATCTCTTGCATTCTCTACAGGTAATGAGTGCAGTTCCCTCTACCAGCCAGGAGGTGGCAGACTGCAACAGGGCTCTGACAGCTCAGGAGCTCTACCAAGTTGTCATAGGTTAGAGACTCAATTCAGAAGTGCCACAGTCTGGGTTTCTATTCTAATAACAGTGTGTGTACAATCTGTACAATAGGTAGTAGTGTGTTTTTGTGTGTTGAAAGTGGTAAATAAAATGTCACTACTTCCTCATCAGGTCCGTTGTTAGTGGACTTCGGCGATGTGTGTGTGCAGTCGGTGTGTGTTCAGAAGCTGGAGCTGATCAATCATCTATCAGTGTTCGTCTGGGTGCAGCTGGAGGTGGACTGCCCGGAGCTACAGGGCTCCTCACCCCTCTCCCACGTCCTGCCACCTCGCTCCCTCAACACCCTGCTGCTGACATTTCAGAGCAGCAAAATGGGTCACTTCTACAGGTTGGTGGAGGAAGCAGCAGCACACACTTTTATTCCATGTAAATCAATTATTGCAGTTCTAGTGGAAATATAAACACACTTCTTTCCCCCCAGATCTGTATCCTTCTCTGTGAACCAGCAACACCCTGGTCAGATTCTGGTCCAGGCCCAGGTCGTCCCCTTGGCCCTGGAGCTGTCCACCGACCTGCTGGTGCTCCGCCCCACCCACACATGGCTCGCCCAATCAGGATACAGGAGCTCGGTTACCCTTCGGAACCAGCGTAACCGCGCTGCAGAATTCACATGGAGGCCGGTAGTCACAGAGAGCGGCCTCCTCTTCACCATTCGACCAGCTACAGGTGCTAAGAGTGCAGCTTGACTTTAGTGTCCCAGGGTGGGAGTTTACAAAGCCTTAATATCAGGAATGTGACCATGCATCATCTCCCTCCCTGTTGTGTTTCTCTTTAAGGAGCTTTATTGTGAATGATTGTTTGAATTAGGGCTAATACAACAAATGTACCCCCTACCTCGCCAGGTACAGTGGAGCCGTACAGGGAATTGGACTGCGAGGTAGTGTGGCATCCCTCCTTCACCTCCCCTTCTGAGGGAGAGTTCGACCTCTGTGTTCATGAGGGCAACACACAACGCCTGCACTGTGTTGCTAAGGTCGGCCCCTAAAATAGGAACGATGACTTTGTATTAACAACTTTTTGCCTTGACCAGTTGAGTATGAGTGGTGGTATGTGGGATTTGGGTCATAACTCAACTGCGTGCCAGCTATATCTTCAGCAACTACTATTACTCTTTGCCTCGTTACAAATCTTCTTAATCTTGCTCTCAATGTTCACCAGATTGATGCCTTTAACTTTAAAATGTAGCCTAAAAATTGAGTGTGAAGTCTTCACAAGTTTTTGTGGTATCAAAACATCCATAGAAACTTTTCAATTCCCTCCTGCAACGTTGGTAATAACCCAGCTCCTAAACAACTATCTGGGATGTCACCTTGAGATGACCTCAAGACAGCTGTGATTAGGGTAGTTGGCAAAAAGATTTCAAAAATACAAATTATCTTCTTTTTTTTCTCTCCTTTTTAACAATGTTCAACAATCATACGAACACAAATCCATCTGAGAGGCAGATATTGATTTCTCCTCTGACAGCAGCCTCAGTGGACCAGAACACAATCAAGCAAAGTGTCTGAAGAAAGGCTTGTGATTGTCATGCGAAAACGGTCCCTGTACTGTTATCATCACTCCTCTCTTCAAAGAGTCGTACAAATGCCACGGATACATGTGCTCCGGGTGCTGTCAAAAGCCCTTCAGTAAAACGAGAGAAATCACTGACTGGAGTAGAATTAGACAAGGCAGCGTGAGGGAGAGTGGGTGGACTACACATGTCAATAACAACACAATGGAATGAATACTGCAGAGCAATGGATTTTCCGTTTTCCTCTCTGTCCTCTCAGGTCGGGTCCACCAGCGTCCAGCTGGCAGAGAAAAAAGTCATGTTTGGATCGGTGCCTCTCAACATGCCCTCTATCAGAACTGCAGTCTTACACAACACCGGAAAGAACCACGCCTACTATCAGGTGCCTACACAGGAACGCTACTTGTGTTTTTGCATAGATACTTACCCAAGAAGAAAAAAGTAGCCAGACTGTCTCTCTCCGTCTCTCGTTGATGCAGGTGCTAGATGTTTCTCCTCTGCCAGGCTTGGTGGTGAGTCCACCTGAGGGCGTGGTGCCGACTGGGGGGCAGGCCGCACTCCAGATCCACTTCATTCCCGACTCTGTCATCAAGTTTGACACTACAGTAAAGGTGGGCGAGAGGTGGAAAGAGGCGGGAGGAGAGAGAGGGCTCGTAGTTTACTTATTTTGGCGATTTGTCCGAGTATGTGTGTCAGCGATAAAGAGAGGATGTGTGTGTGTGTGTTACAGACAGCTCTGAGGAACATGAAGTCCTTGGAGCTCAGAGTGGGCGGATCAGTGGAGCCTCCAAATGTAGACATCAGTGTGGTGAGTTTTCAGCGAAGCAGCTCAAAATCTAAAACGTAAACAAAAAGCCTGACAATGCCTGCTGCAGTGTTCCAGTACCTCTGAAGAAACAGCAGGTTGAAAAGGGATTTAAAGTCAATCACGTATCTGTTTAGTTTTTTTTTTGTTTGAATTATTTATTATTATATCATTATTTTTAAACCTGCCTTGCCTGACTTGAAGATCTGTCATCTCAACCTTTTTCCTTTATAACAAGCACCATAATAGGAATAAGCTTTTTTATGTTTTTATCTTTGACTATTCAATTGTACATCAGGACTGACTGATTGCAGTCTTGCATTTTCCTTTAATAATGTCAAATGAATCAATCTGTATTATTCTCTATGTCGCAATTACAATCAATATAACAAGCAGTTTGTTCATCATACTGATTGCACACACAAAGGATGCCTTTATAGATGATGATGATCAAACTAATGAAAATGATTACTTTTCGACAAAGGATAAGGTTTACCAACAGAAATGAATACGTCATTGTGAATATTGAAGGTTTGTAGGTGTGGAGCACGAAAGCAGTTCTTTTTATTTACCAGATGTGTCGTCCAGAAGCCATTAAACTCAAATTCAGAGTCGGTAGAAGTACTGATGCAGCATTATAATCTTTTTTCGTGACCTAAAGTTTTTCCAGTTGCTCTAACAACCCTAGCCATCTTGTTTTTATTTCCCACAGCTGGGTTACTGCACCAGATTGAGAGGCTAAACACACAGATGCTCTCTATCAGGCTGACACACACTTTGTTTAGTAAGAAAGTAGACTTTATTTCTTACATGTGGTACCAACAATGTCTGTAGAGTTCAGCGTATGTCGATAGAGACACTTGTTACGTTTGTTTAGTAGCTCAGGAATCCTGGATGTGTGCACTGTGTGTCTTTGTGCACCGGCCTTGCAGACAGGCACTTAGCTGTGAATACCAGCTTCATGAAGGGGACAACATAAACTGTTGTTGTTGTAGTCGGGGCTGCCACAGAGATGTTCACTTCTATGCTCCTCTTTGAAGCCGTGTTCTTGTAGGTTACATTTGTGTGTGAAGTCCTTTGTCGTGATCTTTACAGGGTTGTTTTGTGACTGATGCAGTGTTTAATAAGCGATGCTTTGGGCCCTTTCACTCTCTGTCAGTTGCCCCATTTTGCTTTAAAGAAAACATATTGTATCATGGTTATGGATTTTCAGCTGATGAAATAATTCTCTTATTTTGTGTATTTCACACCCTTCACATTAAAGCATACATTTCTTGATCAATTGACTGACACAAATGCACCATGAGAGGAAAATATGATAAAAAGAAAGAGAGAAGAACAAATAATTTATATTATTCAAAAGGTAATGTATTCCTGAAGGGTGCCATTGACAAAAATGAATGGCTTTATTTCTGATACATAAAAATGATTATTATGCAAATATATCTTCCCATTTACACCTCCTGTAGTCTTGTTAGATTTATCAATATCATTATAAGACGTCATTAATGTTGGAGTGTAATGCCTCCATGAAAAGCTCTATTACTTGTTATATCCCACGAGCACATTCAAGCACATATTACAGTTTTGAATTTGCGGTGATGGATCCTGGGGCGCTCTAGTCTGAGATGGACTCCTGGAACATGGTTTTTATAATTACTAATCTCCACATAGGTGATAATAGCTTGTCTCATGGACGTGGAAAGTCAAAGAACAGGGGAAAAGTGACGATGTGAGAAGGAAGAAGAGACAATAGTCTTCGTGTTGAGGATGTATGTGTGTGTGCCATTTAGAAACAGCAGGCGTTGCACCTTTGAAAGAAATGAAGTGAAAGATATAATGCTTTTGTACGGCTCCAAAATGACTCTTTGATTTGTATTTGCTGTAGCTGTTGAGGTGCTACAACAGAGTTTGCTTGACGGGGCACGCTTCTTAAGTTGCTCAAACTAAATAGATGAAAGGAATACAGACGCTTTTTCAGCGACTTTATTTGTTGTCTACTCTGCTGAAATGATACAATATTTGGATAAAAGAAATGTCTTGTCAAGACAACTGGAATGGGATTGATTGATTTCATTCATCCCCGGCCTTATAATACATGCAACGTGTCCTGGTTTTGAGATATCCACCTTCCAGATGACTACTACTCTCTTATCTACTTGTGTTCATTTCTCCCTCCCTCTGTCAAGGCCCGTTTCCAGTTTCTCGGGGTCCATGCTGGCTCTCAGCGAGCGATACCGTTCGCTCTGACAAACCACTCGTCAGCCGCAGCCCAGATTACCTTCGACCTGGCAGAATACTCCGACTTCTCTTTGCACCTCCCTCAGCCCTCACAGTTGTACTGTGTGGTGATAGGTGGGTACTAGTCCCGAGAAGAAATGAATAAGGATGTAGTGTTATCGTATGACTGTCTTTGTGGGCTGTGACTAGAATGTAAGACTGGAATATGCATTTTTGCAAGTAGAGAAGGAGCCGGGCGTGAGTGTCGTGGAAGTCAGAGGCCACCAGACTGTGGACTGTTCCCTTGTCTTCTCCCCCACCCAGGTGAGATCCAGACCAAGCATTTCACAGTAGACCCGATTTCAGCCTAGTCAAAAAGCAAACGGTCAATACCAGATCTTGCTCCCTCTCAGCTTAAAGCTTTAAAATGTCTGTAAAAGTGATTAACATTTGAATAAAGTAGAGATGACCAGTAAACGAAATGTCTTCGTGCAGGCAGTCGGCTATGATTTCCACCTGCCAATGATGGTCAACGGAGCGCGATGGGCCACTGCTTCTCCGTCCCCTCTCTCCACCTCCTGCTCCGTCTCCTCCTCGCTGCCAGCCGGCAGCAGGAAGCGTGTCGTCAAACCTGTTCCATGGTCTGTCGCCATGGCGACGCAATGGCCTCAGCGCGTACAGGCCACAGGTGCGCTCGTAAATGTGGAGTTAAGAGTTTGTGTGCTCATGTGTTAGTGAAGGATATCGATATTTGAAAGACTAACTGTCTCCTGCTGGAATGAAACCTATATCAGGGATGATATGTGTCTCCATTGTTTGTGTACAGATTACATGTCACACGTAGCACTATGGGTTCACGGAGCAAAATGGAATGTTTTTCTGTCCCTTTAGTGCTGTGCGCCCCCCTGGAAATGTCCCCCTCTAGCCTAGAGTTCAATGTGGAACCCCAGGCACCACAGTCTCATGCTTACACCAAGGTATCTTCCTTCTGTTCTTAAAAGATTTCACTCAACTTCTTACTGGACTGCATTTTCATTTCTACCTGTCTTTGCAGCTTGTACTGAATTTCTAATCACCACCGTCTGTTCTTTTAGTCCCATTCTGCCTCTCACTCCTCTCTCCCTCCGCAGACAGTGGAGCTGAAAGCGGTGTGTGAGGAGAGCGTGTTTTGGCGCAAGGGCGTCAGGCAACATGCGAACTGGTGGTTTGGCTGCAGAGGAAATGCAGTAGCCGAGTACAGAAGAGAGGGGGAGCTATGTGTGGTGTCTCCATCATCAGGCAGTCTGGGGCCGGGCCAGTCCATCTACTTGACGGTCAGCATCAGCGCTGAGGCTGTCACAATGGGTGAGACAGACACTATAGAGTGTAACATCCCTCAAAATAATACTTCACATGGAGCAAAACGAAGATAATTTAAATTAAAATGATACTTCCTGGGGCCTTAAATAAATAATAGCATTACATTTTATTCTCCTAGGCTCTGGCAGAGTGACCAAACTGTCCCTCCCTCTCTACCTGGAAGACGAGGGAGGACAGGGGATGGGAGGAGAGGAGGTGCATGAACCTTACAGAGAGCTGTCCATCACCATCCAGCCTCCCTGTATCACCATCCACCCCCCTCAGATCCTCCTCACGCCAGTACCCCTGGAAGGCATCGCAACCGCCACACTCACCCTGCTGGCTATTGGATATCCTCGGTTTGTTTATACACACACACACACACACACACACACACACACACACACACACACACACACAACCCAGGCCAAAAAAGGTTCCAGTAACTGTTATGTTTCATGAATGCCTCCCTTTTGATTATTTGGATCATGGCACATGGACAGCTGCTTTGCGATCACAGTTGTGGTTGTCATCTTTCTGGATGAGCGGAGCCGTAACATTGATGGATCTTTATTGTATTTACATTTTGTTTAGCTTGTGGCAATTTACCAGCTGCGTTGAGCCTTTGGAACTGAACAAACACAGAGGAAACACCGCCACACACACATAAACTGACTACATTATTCATTTCAGTAGGATTTTCATCAGTCAAACCAGGGTTGCACTCATGTTAGATTTTGCTTACATTGCGAGCTAACTCGCTAATCCACACTCCTCCGGGGTTTACGTTGTTGGTCAGATTTCTGAGTGGGAAGCAATCTGGTTGCAATCTGACAGTCCTGGCAGCGTTTTCTGACCCAAAACTGAGGAACACAGTGCAGCTCCTCAAATAATCATATCTAGGGCACCGTTTACGCGCTACAATATCTACATAAAAGTATTTTTTTTGAGGACTACCCTGTACCCACAAGCCATATTGAGAAGGTTGCGTATTGCATAGGAGCAGAGAGTTTAATGTTGTATTCGTTGGAGATGTCCTTCCGCTATATATCCACTGTATGTCCAACTTTGCAGTGGAACCACGGTATCAGCTGAAGTGGACGAGGTGGAACTGGAGGATGGGGTGAAGATTCGGCCCGTTTCCATCATCTTCCCAGAGGGTAACAACCTTCCTGCCCAACACCAGGATCAGGTACAGACCTGTACTCAGACCAGTTTACTGAGGACCATCTGACCAAAAGCGGATGTTGTTCTTGTTACTTGCCTCAGTGCGGAGTTTATTTAGGGTATCAGAGACGTTTCCTCCTAAAAAGTCACACCCCTACAACTTATACCAGTGAACGTAATTCATCCTTTCAAGGTATTCAGTCGTGAATGACAGAGCAAATTAACATACCGCTCTAAATGTAATTGGTTTCACTCACAGAGTCACTTTCTTAAGAGCATATTGATTAAAGTCCAACACTTTTATGCCTCCATCGCAGCTGTATTTATCTGTACTTTTCTTGTTTTCCCCAAACTCTTGCTTAATTTCATTCGGATGTTTACAGTATATCCACACAGGTTCCGTCATGTCGGTATAAATTCCACTCACAGTCCAGGCTGATGTCTCCCCAGTCAGTTTTTGAAGATCTTGCAGCAGCTTGAGCGAAACCCAATTTTGCGCCTGCTTGCACTTAAACAGAAATACTATCAAGATCTGTGGAATTCATCCCTCTCTATCTGCAACCATAGAGACATCCAGTAGGCATTCAGAACCAGGAGGCCAATGTGACCTCTCTAGCCTGCAGCGTGTCCTTCTGCTCCGCCATCCCTCTGTCCCTCTGCACAGCCATCACCTTCACCGACCACCTCCACAACAAGTAACCGCTTATTGTAAAACTTAATCCCTAACATTTCTTTTTCTTGTCTTAGTCTTTTTGCCTACTCTCTTCCTTCATGTTGCTCACAAAGCATCCTCAAAACAGTTCAAATCCCTTTCTTATTATGCTGATTCCTCTTCTTCTGTTGACAATAACCCATACATTTAAAGTTGATTTAATCTACTAACTTGACTTTTTTTCTCTTTGTCTCTTCCGCCAGGTTTAAGGTGACGTTGTGTGCTATCGCTGACAACTGCGTGTTGACAGTGTGGCCCTACATGGCCCAGCACCGCTCCGAGCTACAGATAGTTCTCAAGACTGGTACTGGCCCCAACACACATCCATGACACAATTTAATTCTGTAGACTGAAGGACCAGACCTCATGAAAGTTTAGGAAAACCTGATGGGTATTGGTCCAATGGCAGTATCTGGTGAACTGTCAGTGAGTGCGAAAAGCTGTAAAGGAAATCGTTCTTGCCACATGAATAGTTTCAAGTGCCACCTAATAGCTGCAAAATCCAAATGGTGTAATCATCAAGCTTGTCCAAATCGAGTGAACTTTGTTTTAGCCTAGTTTCTCATCGTATCAATCAAAAGGTCCTACAGACTGGCAGCGTCTTAGGCTGACTACTACTAACACCTATTCATGACAACTTAAGTTAGCATCTATGATTGTTCATGCAACATTTCTCTCCTTTCATCTGATTGGTTTATATGTCACTGACGTTTAGGGGCCACAGATATTGAGGCGATCCTGCAGCGCCATCACACACCAAGTCTTGCCTCCGGTCCGACTTCATCCTCCTCCTCCTCATTGTTTGATCGCAACAGCTCAACAAGCAAGAACTCGACGGCATCAGGTCGGAAAATGAAATGTACTTCTGTAATTGTATTTTATTTGTAATTGTCTGAGTGCATTTCCTTTTTGCAAACGTGAGTTTTTATGTAGAGCGCTGTGTGTGTATCTGCCCTCGTCAGACTCCTTTCCAGACAGTGACAGCTCGAGCGGTCAGGCCAGCAGGAATACGGAAGGACTATATTACCAGAATGTATTAATGGCCGCGGAGAGGTGGTTTAGCTTCTTTGGGTGGCCGAGTGGACCACACCCCATCTCTGTGCCACACACACTCAGAAGGTATACCCAACAGTTGAGTTCAGGATCCGCATTTGGAGACTTCTTCTTTTATAATGGTGCCTCTTCTCTCCATCCAGAGTTGCGTCCAAAGTTCAAACGAATCATTCCAGTGGACGGACTTATCAAGTCACTCAAAATAATGACTCCAGGTGTGTATATGAAGCCGTCTCAAATGAGTCCTCCTCATGCTGACGTAGCTAACATGACAAGATTACATAGTAATGTTTAAATCTGGTCAACGACCGTGATGAAACTAGGTCATTGAAAGCGGGTTCTGCCTCCTGAATACTGCTTTTATACAGAGATCTCAAGAACAAACGGGAGCTCTCATGTGCAAATGATCTGTTTTATACAACAAGTCTGCTTTCAAATGGCAGTGGGCAGTCCACTCTGGTCATTATTGATTATTTAGAGGGTTAAAATGGATAAATAGTAAATGATACTGGAGTTGAAGCTCTGGTGGGATTTCATTTCATATCCGTGGGCATTGATCTGGCTCCAGATTAGAGGCTGATCAGACCTACATCCCCGTTTTACACAGAGGCTACGTACAAACCAAGGAAAACATATCTTTGTGCATGTGATTAACTGCTTATAGTCTAAACAACTGTTAAATACTCTATGAAATGGCACTGATTTTGTGGCTTGCAGACAGCAGACAAGTGGTATTGGTGTCATATCTGACCCGTTTTCAGTTTATCCTCACATATATAACTCAACACACTTTGTCCACGATACGTACAAGACAGGCGGACAGGGAGGAAACTCCCTTTCAAAATCCCCCATAGGTCGACCTGTACTCCAGATTGCAAGGGACATAACTATTGTATCGTTGTGTCCAGGTCTGTAGTGGACATGCTTCACCACCTGACTGGCAAACAGATTCCTGGTATTCCTCGGAGTCAGACACTTTCCTCTGATATAAACCAGCGCACCGATCAGCTGCTGCAGCAGCATGAAGCTATGCTGACTTTTCTCCGGTAGGCCTTACACGGATAAATACCATGCTACAATGCTGCTCTCACTGTTTTGATTGACTCCTGATTAAGGCTCCTTTCAGATGTGCATTTGATTACGCACATGTGACGGCAAAGTTACATGTTAGTCTTGTGTTTCAGTCACAACAGTATTGTCACAAGGTCAGACCTAGAAACACTTCTGTAACTGCAATTCCGTTACTTCAACAGATGTTACATTTTCTATGTCTGAAAAGGGTTAAAGGGACATTTTGGAAACTTTTGGGGGCTGCCGTCAATTGTCTCCATTTCATTGTATTGTGTGTTCAGGGTGCAGGGAGCATGCCTTTGTCACATCCGACCGCAGTACTTGCTTGACATGCAGGAGTACGAACACTGGTGCTCCCTCCTGCAGGTACGGATACCCATCCTAGACCTACACCATAAAATTGCATGTCCTCTAAATCTATTTTCGGAGAAGGAAAACAATTGCTTTAGTAATGCCTTTTTGATAACATTTAAAAAAAAAAAAAAACTCTCCTCTCTCTTTCACTCACACACAACATATTTAGAGCTTATTGTGCCATATTCATACATGTGTGTTTCTCTCAGTCAAATAAGGAAGAACTTGGTCTGGACTACAGCAGTGTTGACTTCGAGTCTCTGAGCAAGCGATCCTGGACTGACGTCCTGCTGCAAATATACAAGGTGAAAAACTTTCTGGCACTCTCTGTCTGACTCGATCCACTCTCCATCTTGTCAGATTATATGTACTCTTGTAAATCACTTCATGTTTTAAGTTATTCTGGGATCTTGCTGAAGTGTACCATAGCTCAGTTTTTCTTTAAAAAACTTTTTTGTCACTTTTTTTTCCCCTTAAGCTTTCTCTCTATTTATGTCTGTCCCTCCCTTAAATATCTGATTGTTATTGATTGACTGATTGTTGCCGGTCGAATAATTGTTAAATCAAAGGTTGACTGTAAAGTAGAGTTGTGCTGAAGAACGTCAGTCCCATCCTGATTCATGCACGTGTTGAAAATGGATCTGCGTTTGCTCAGGTGCTGGTGTTGTGCCGCGTGTCAGAGAGCGGTTTGAACACTCTGAAACGCGACGGCGTAGATGGAGTCCTCCCCGTCGGGTCACAGCCACGGGCCAGTAACATCTATTCATCCTGCGAGCTCCGGTTGCTCTTATGGCTCAACGTGCACTACCAGAGCATGAGGAAGACTATGTTGGGAACAGGTAGGACACACAACCACTTTTTTTTAAAGATTCAAAGTTAAGTGAAAAATGCTGATTAACAGGCCATTTCTGCATGGTAATGTTTCACAGGCGGTGTCCCATCAGCACGCTGGATAGTGGATTTTGACCTGGACTTGACAGATGGACTGGTGCTCACTGCTCTGCTTGCTGCCCACTGCCGTCACCTGGTCAGTGCGTGTGTGCATGTGTCTGTTCATTTTGTGCCGACCCTCCTCAGTGGGTGAGTCAATGAGGGATAGTGCTTAACGTCTTTAAGTGGCGCTGTGATTGATGGGATGAGGACGCAATTAATCCTGAATATGATTAGGGGAGCCTCTTATCATGCTAAGCACCATTTTTTTTGTGTGTGTGTGTGTGTGTGTGTGTGTGTGTGTGGAGTTACAGATAAATGTTTTTTATTCCCTCTAACCTGCTGTGTTGCTGTTTAGATCTGCAGCCACTTCCACAGGATGTACTCCACAACCAACAGCCTGGATCAGATAATGCACAACAACATTATAGTGGCCCAGGCCTTAACTGCACTGTGTCTCAACCTAGACGTACAGGTAAATACCAGATGTTTCTTATGCCAAGATCACCAGTCAAACTGGGCTTATTTCAGTAAATCAGGCTTATTTTCAGAAAAAGGAGGTCAGGACCTCAGTTACCTTGGAACCTACGTTACCCACAGTGCAGCTGGATGGCTGACAGTTCAGTTTGAGGATTTGGGTGTGTTATGCTAGTAGCTGCTAATGTAGCCGGGAACCTCAAGTAGAGAAGAATCAAACACTTTTTTAATTTTCAAATTAGTCTTCAGCTGCAACTGATGCTGATCACCATCACTATACAAACACTTTTAGACAACCAGTCTTAAGACATACGAGACTTAAAAGTTGTTTAATGTCGTGTTGCATCTTGTACATGATGATATCATGATGTCAGAGGTTAGGCGGCACTTCCTTCGTGTGTCCCTGTGTCTTGAGTGTGTGTGCTGCATTCAGCCCACAGACTTGTCGGACCCCAATCCAGTGCAGATGTTAATCCTGTGCGTTCACCTGTATGAGCGGCTGCCGCAGTACCTGCCGCTGCGCACTATCACTCTGTCAGGAGGTCTGCACAGCACTTTCAGCAAACAGGTAGCACACACACATCTTTGATCTCAGAAGACACCTAAATATAAATGTTACTAAATGAGCACTGCAAGACTGAAAATGGCTTGGATAATAAGCTCCAGGACAGATAGTGACACACACACAGACACGTTAACAGGATTATAGACACACACATATATTAATAGGATTATAGACAAAGCCCTACACACACTAACAGGATTACAAACACAGACAAATATACATTTGGGTAATGATCCACGTTGTCAGGTTAAGCCACATTACAAGCCTGACAAAAATAGATGTCAGTTTCTCGGTGCCGAGGAAGATGGATTTCATTGTTGTATTGTTTCCTGTCTGTATATACAAACACTTGGCTATTTGCCATGTGTTTCTGTGTTTCTTTGTGCTGCAGGTGCGTCTGGAAAACCCGTCCTCTAAGCCAATCAAATACCAGGTTCTTCTTTTAGGAGAGGATGCCCGTCTCTTCTCCCTCCCTGGTGGATCGGCTGTCACTATTCCTCCAAAGTATGTTTTTTTTACCTTAAAAAATGCAAATCACTATATACTTTTAACATTAGAAATGTGTACAAAACCTACAAGAACATCACAGAGGAGTGTGTGAAGACACCATTTCCATTGGTGTCAAACATCACGCTCCTTCTTCTCATCATAACTCATAAACTTTCCAGGGCTATACATATGTCAATCTGACAAGTGTTTTTTTTTTAATGATGCAAATTTGTTGAAATGTAAATAAATAGAGGTTTAAAAAGTGGGACTCAAAGTGTAGCCCACAGCTAACTCACTGACTCCATCTACCTTCTGCTTCACCCCCCCAAAGCAATATGAAAACTTTAGTTCCAAAACTGATATGAATAAAAGGAAAAAAGAATAGCAATAGGAGTGACAAAGGCCATTCATATTCTTTTGACATTTTGTTGACATTACCAAGGCACAGAATGTCCTATCAACATAGTTGTTATATCCCTGGGACACTGACACTCTGCGGGTTAAAACACCTTAAAATGTACCAATTGAAACAGGAGTTCCTTAACTTAGTCCCCACGAGTACCAGTGTTTTCAAAACATTTCATGGCCTTTAAAGGGACTTTCAAATATCTTGCAATTAATTTTTTCTTCATTCAATAAAGCAAATATCCTTCCCTGCCATATTTTACTCCTTTGGATTTAAGAACGATAAAGATGTATGTACAGTATGCTGCCTCTTTTGTGGTATTAATAGCTTGTGTGCCACCTGTGCCCTTCAAAGGGAAAACCCCTCTTCATCTCGTCCAAGTGGAGCAAAATTGCTTTTGCCTCAAGACTGTAGCGCATTAAAATGTACCAGTTTTGCTCTCAAGTGAGGATCCTCCATAAAAATAGCCTATGTCCCAATTTGAATCCTTAGCTTAACTGTCAGAAACTCCGTCTTTAAGGACAATACCATTATGCAGAAGTATTGAAATTCTGCTGATTCATAACGGTCATGACCTGAAAATTTGGTACGAGGGAATTGTGGTTCTAGTAGAACAGAAGATTATTCGATCATCTGTCGGTTTTCACAGGGCGCGCGCCGAACTGACGGTCCAGTTCAGCTGCGTCGTCATGCAGCCCATGGAGGCGGCCCTCCTGCTCATCCCCAGTTCTCCCTTCGGCCTGTGCGGCACCACTCTCGCCTTCAATCTGAAGACCCGCGTCAGTCACATCACACCCACGGTGAGTATAATGGATGAAAGGGGTTGGACCGACATAGCTGGCTTCAAGCCTCACCGGCTGATTTTCTGATAGCTTGCTAATCGTCCGTCTTTCTGATTGAATCGCGGCATGCTGCGTCGAACACACATCAAACAAATTGGTAGTTTAGATACATGGTGTTACTGAAGGCTGGCAGTTATAGAGGCTTCTACTAAGTAGATGATAGTCTCCTTCTTGCCGTTTCTCCTTAGAACACTGTCAAGTGCAAGTCTCCATGCTACCAGCTGAAAGTAATCCAAGTGCCCATAACTAACCCCTTCAACAAAGAAGCCACGTTCAGGTAGGAGTCTGTGTCCATGTTCATGTGTCCATGCATGTATGCAGTTAGTACCCAAATATCCCCAAAAACACTAGTAGAAATCCAGATAGTTTTGGTTACATTTGCCCATATCGCTTAATTCAACCTTCTCTGCTGTATGTGCATGTGTGTTTAGGGTCGTGCTGGTGGAGTCTCCGTTCAACCCACTGGACCCCAAAAAGAAAGGAGAAGGCCTCTTTCAACAGGCCTCCTCCGAAGCCAAGTAACGCATGCACTGTTCACAGCGCTAATACACACGCACACACACACACAATAAAAGACACAATCAAACAAACAAGATATAACATGTTAGTTAATGAGCTTTAGAGGTGATGCTGCTACCTTTAGACAGGGACAGATTAACTGTTTCCCCGATTTCCAGTCTTTAAGCTAAGCTAACAACTACTGGTTGTAGCTTCATATGCAACGGACAGATGCTCTTTATACTCTTAATATCACTGGTAGCACACAAGTTAACTTTTATGAACTCAAACACGGTAGCATGCTCTGTCTTACGCAAACTTTCCACATTGAATTGAACGTAAAATCAGATCAAACGTGAAGAGAGGTAACGTATGAGGTTGTTCCTCAGGAGAGCACTGGTTTGTCATGAAGAATAGCTGGTTAGTATGCATCTCTCACCACCGGAGACGTCTTCAAAGACAAACATTCCACTTCCTCCTCATCATGCAGTTAAATATGAGGATTTGAAGTAGGACTGAGGTCATCTATGGTGCAGCTGAATCAAGTTGTGTAGTCTTGATATTCATATATTATGAATGATCATGATTTTTTTTTGTCCTCCCTCTTTCAGTATGAAGATGATGACTCCAGACAGGAGCTGTGGGGAGGAGATGGAAGGAAAGTGCTCGGATCTCAGTAAGTAACACAAATGCACCCCCGCTCTGTGCCGCCTTGATTACGGTTGGTGCTTGTGTGTGGGTATACTACCTGTATTCACGTCCGCAAGCTTGTGGTCTTTTTTTATAAGTGAGTGTGTGTGTGTGTGTGTGTGTGTGTGTGTGTGTGTGTGTGTGTGTGTGTGTGTGTGTGTG